ATTCCATGGTATGTTTAAGTCAATTTATGGAAACTTAGGACATGTTTAAGTTCTTTAATGTTTTGCAATTTTGGGGACATTTTGGTGATTTCATATGATAAATGGGTTGCTTGGAATTCCACTTTCGTGGCTTGGATTTCTAGTTGATCTTTCGATGGTAGAGATGGGGTTTAAGGGTGCAAGAAGGTATCAAGGAAATGGTTGAATGAGATTGTGTGAAATTAAATCTATTTTAATTAATGGGACAAATGAGGGTATTTTTTAATGAAAAAACAAAATGACAAGATCGAGGCTTTGATTTTTGAGGCTTCTGGATCAACTGGTAGAGTTTGATTGGTCTAATTGTTCTTAGATCAAATGGATTTAGAGGATGGATGGATGGATGTTTTAACCAATGAGAAAGCTTAGAAATGAATTTTGATTTGATAGAGGGGCAAATGGAGGAGATTTAGGATGAAATTTAGTATCTAAGGCTCAGTTTGGAAGGAGTAAAAATGCAAATATGTAGAATGCAAAACCTTATATTTTGTATTATTTTATATGTATTTGCATTTGTACTCTTCCCAAACTGAGCCTAAGTGTTTTGTGATGTCTATAAGTCAATGATGGTGTATGATGAGTTCGGAGTTGGGCTAGAGGGTTAAATTTGGGGTTTGAAGGTCTTGTCTCAACCAATGAGTGTACAGAGGCATTTGAGGTCCAATGGAAAAGGTGAATCTTCGATCAAGCAAGTATAGTGAGAGATCTAATGACTATAAGCATCTAATGTCATATTGGGTTAGTCAAAGAGGGTCTTATAATGAAATTTAGGACCGCCCATGGGTTAAACTAGGGAATTTTATCATGAAATTGGCAAATTTTGAGTATGTTTTTTTGGGGCTTATCGTGAAGGTCTCGTTGTTTTAGAAGTGTGTCAATAGACAATTTTAAGCTTCGAAGACTTAACTATTCAACATTGTTGACATTTAGGCCTCGTTTGCTTTTTGGTAAGTTATTTACCTGGGTAAATGCACTTACTCGGGTAAGTGTTTCCCATGAAAGACTTACCTGGGTAAGTGAATTTACCCATGTTCTTTTATTTTCCATGCAAACAAGACAAAGACCATTTTAGCCATAAAAATCCATTATTACAAGGGCATTTTTGTCCCATTCAAGTGTTGACAACTTCCCCCAAGGCGGGAAAGTTATTTACCCACCTAGGAGATGGGTAAGTGATACCTAGGAAAATAAACTTTCCCTGGTCCCCACATAAATCTAAAAAAAGAACATGGGAGTCTTGGTCAATGGGAATCAAATTCCCCCTCTCAAAATCCAGAAAAAGAATGCCCCCTTAATCTTTAGTTAATGGATGGTGAGACCAAGGAGTTCAAGGCTAAAAGTTAACGTTAGATTCATATATTTATAAGAACAATATCTACCATGTGAAAATTATAAGAACAATAAAAACAATCTATATCTATATATTAAAACCAAATGTGTCAAGCTTGCACTTTCTTGCTTTCCGGTTTCTTCTCAAAGGCACTTATCTTTTTTTAATTTTTAATTTTTAATTTTAAAAATTAATAAATTAACTCAAGTGGCTAATCACCTTTTAAGACTCCACTTTTCTCACTTAGCCACTATTAATTCTCTCTCATCTTTCCCATTAACTCTTTTAATTATCTCACCTTGTTAATTATGCCATTAACTCTCTCCTTTAATAACTCATTCCAACAATTCTCTAATCTCCTCTCTATTACTCCATTTAATTGCCTAAAAATCATTAATTTTATTTATATCTATACCCATTCAATTTAACTATACTTTTATATACATTAGATATAGTTATATTAAACTGTAATTAGTAATAAAGATCAATTATATTGAAATGGATATATTCAATGATAAATTATTAGGCAAAATAATATATTTCCATTTAAAAGATAGTTAATTTTTAAGTTAACTGATCAAGTAATTTGCATTTTAGAATAGATATTATTTACTTTACCCAACAAATAAAATCAGTGTTTTAAAAACTAACTTGGAGGTTGAATAGTTTTTGTCTCTAGGTCACATGCCAATGGTTTAGCTGTATGAGTCAGACAAGTCAAAACGTGACACGTCATCCATCTATATATGTAGAATATAAGGTTTATTTGTTTTTTATTTTATTTTATAATTATAAGAGCCAAAAATTGAAAATTGAGGCCAACAATTGGGTTTTTTTATAGTGGGTTTGCAAAGATTGCAAAAAGTTATCCAAAATAAGGAAAAAGATTATCCCCAATTAGACAACCAAACACAAAGTTAAATCCTCTACAAGTTTTCAATACATTGTATATTGTAACTTCTAACCCAATGACTAGGTTAAAAGTGTCAGTGGTTCAACTATCGAGGTCGAACATGGTAGATTTTAGGAAACCTGGAATTAGATATAGGTTCGAGTGATGTTTGGATTGTTAATCCGTCCAAGTCAATGACAAGTTGAAAACATTAAATAAAACATCATAAAAATTATAATTCATTTTTATTCCATTTGAAAATAATAAAAATTAACTAACCATATGAAAAATATTTTAGTAGGTTACTTAAATAAAATAAAATTATTTATTGATTATCATTATTGAATAAAAATAATTTTATTAATATAATAAAAATGAATAAGATAAATTAAGAACTAATATTTGTTTAAAATTAATATAAAATAGTACAAAGCTATCTAACAATTATTAATTTTATAATTAATTTTTACTAATTTAAACCACTTATGTTCCACTAAAAAATAAAAACTTATTATAGTTAGTTAAATTTAATAGGGATTAAGAAAAAAATAATAAAAAGTTTTTAATTTTAAATATAATTTTATTAATATAAAAATCAAATTAAATTCCAATTTAAAATAGGGAAAATTATAAAAAACCTCATTGGGTTTTCTAACATTCCCATAAAACTCCCCCTGTTCTAGGACCATAACAAACCCCCCTATTGTTTTGAAAAAATGTGCAAATACCTTCCTTTTGCCAGCATTTCAAATAAAAAATGTTGATGTAATGCATTAATTTTACTTCACTTCAGCCTTTTTACCTTACTTTGTCCAATAAGAACATGGGGAATTACTCTTTGAAAGTTATTGGCAGAATAAATTAGTGGAGAGTAAAGTTAAAATTTTAAATTGTTTGTGATAATGCATTAACAATGATAAGGGTATATTGGTAATTTCAATGTCTTTGTTATTGAAAAGCCAAGAGAAGGGAGGTATTTGCACTACAAGAGAGGCTTTTGTTAGGGTTAAAACTCGAAACACAAAGGTGGTTTATAGAATTGCTATAAGAAGATGTTTTTATAATTTACCTAAAAATAATACAAAAATAATAACGAACAAATAAAAATTAATAAAAAATAGCATTAAGATATAAAAACAATACGAATTTATATAGAAAAAACCAGACATCCCAAAATATAATACTTGAATTGGATTTACACGGCAATGCTTAATTGGAAGTGTCTTAGTGTTCCATCATCAACTTATAAATAGAGCCCATACATCACACAAGTCCTGACTAGTATTCTCTTAAAATGGAGGTCTTTTGGGTATACAGGTTGGGCCATCCCGTAAATACCACATGACAATCATAAAGGATAACTTTCCCTTTTTTTCAGGTATATGGGCTGACTCGGCCCATATCAATTGCGCGGTGGCCACAAGGATGCCAAAGACTCCTTTTTCTCATTTAAAACTAGTAGGGCCTTGTGTGATGCATAGGAAAATAAAAAATTTGATTACTTTTATTAATTAATAATCTGAAAGATGTTAGGGTTTTCTTTTTTCTTTTTCTAGACAACCAAGGGGATCATCCCCCAAACCTACAAGCAGGATTTGATCCTAAATCTCCACTACAACAATAGGAGACCTTACCAACCAACCAATTATATTTATTGTTGTTTGCAGAATATAAAAAAAAGAAAAAAATGAATATCATAGAAATACTTAGTACAAATATTGATATGAATAAATTAAATTTTAAGAAATTTATGAATAAATTTTTCAAAATTTATTGATACGAAGAAATTATTTTTCAAAAAGTTCTGAATTTATGGATAATTAATTACTAAAAATATAAAAAAATCAGCAAATTATAAATTTAAATTAAATTTTACTAAATTAAATTACCAAAAACATGAAATTAGTTTATGAAAATTAATAAATCAAAATTTCCAAATAAATATAAAAAACCAATGTAAATTACCAATAATTATAGAAATTATTAATAATTTCCAAATATAAATTATCAATATTAAAATTCCTCAATAATTTCCAATATAATAATTACCAAAAACCAATGTAAATTACCAATAATTAATTATGGATATTATTAAAATTTTAATTTAATAATTTTCAAACTACTAAATTTTTTGAATAGTTATGAAAATTATAAATATAATTAAGATTCCCCAATACTTTTTCAATGTAATATTTAACAATTACCAAAAAACAATTTAATATTTAAAATGAATTTCAGCATATGGATTGACCCGACCTTGTTGTGACATTTGGCATAGAGGAAATTGAAAAAAAAAAACATTTAATTTAGGTGAACGGGTCAATATGGGTGATGGGTGGGTGAGGGTCAGGGTGTGTTGTGACCCACTAACAAGCAATGCATATGGATATGGGTTACTACTCACTAGTGGGTTAGTGGGTCATAATGGGTGGATTGGCATTCAACCCGCACCCAACCCACCCATTTGTCACCCCTACCTTACCAATTCAAATAAGACTTTCTATGGTGTTAGTCCCATTCACTGAGATGAAATTTATAAACCCAAATTAAATTAATCAAACAAAATAATAATTATAGTTATACAACTAAGTTATGAGTATATGACAAAATTTGGGATTTAGTCCTGTTTTATTTACTTGTTTCATGGTTTTATTTTTCCAATACTACAAGAAAGTCAGGCGAATGGAAGGATGTTCTTCCCTAAGGCCTAAAGTCTTAATATATGGAAAAATATCCTGTAACTGTAATATTATATACCTTAAACAAAATTAAGGTTACATCGGATGACATTTATCCCTTGAAGCATAAGGATACCAAAAAAAAAAGAGGCAAAAAGAATGTAAAAGCTATAAACCAAGACAAGAAATACCACCTCAAAACATCTCCTTTTTTTTCCTTTTAAGTTTCATTCAATTTTCCCTTTTTTTAGGTAACTTCCAACGAATAATGTTGTCGTACCTTTCGTTAATTTTTCCTCTTCACCATTGATGCCGGATTCCCCTCAAACAGCTCATCGATGTATGTCTCGATATCTTCTGGTCCATACTTAATATACTTCTCTGCTTGCCTACCGGAATCCAAATATTGCCGGAACCTCCCCACGAAGGAGCGATATGCTGGAATCACAACTGCCGATATGGACACCCTAAGCTCGGATTGAAGTTGTTCATCGCTTACCACCCACGAAGACTGCGTCTTGTGAATCTCCTCAAACATGGAATTGAAGGACTTGAACCTCTCCTTGAGCGCTTGCTTCGCTACTTTCCCATGCACTTGCAAGCCCTCATCTCTGAGTAATGCTAACACCTTATTCCACGTCTCTCTTTGGTAATTCTTATGGTATTGCCTGAGTTCGGATGATTTTTTCCGGCACCATGAGTTACCAATTAACTCGTATATCTCCGCGGATCCCTTGATCTTCTGCACGATGTACCGCCCATTGTTCATCAAAAAGATGTAGCTCAAGGACGGGTCCTTGTAGAGTTTCGATTTTATCTCTAGATTTGAGCTCAAAAGATCCATAACCCTCAGTAGTTGTTTTGAAAAAGGTGATTGCTTCGCCACCTGATCAGCCCCGCTCGATGGCTCGCTTTCCGCATCTGATCCAGCCGACGCGTCTGATTGTTCAATCTTTTGATGTTCTTGGAATACCTGTTCTAAGGTATCCTTGTACTCGCATGCGTATTTTAGATAGTTCATGGTGTAGCGCGTCAAGGGGTGAACCGCACCACCGGGAACTGGAGTTTTCCCTGCATCAGTCTTGATTGAATTCTCGAGTTCACAGAAAATGGTGACCGCAGCTTCACCCAGTCGGCACCGAGCAGATGTGGTCTCTGTTTTTAGTTCGCGTAACGGCTCTTCCGAAAATAGGCCAGTCATGGCCGGAATCAAATCGCGCAAGGTTTCGTACATATCAAGAAACTTGAACAGCTTCTCAGCCGACCGCTTCGTCATTGCGACCGCTTCAGCGAAATTAAGAAGCTGTATGAGGACACCACGCGTAAGGTTACAAAATAGTCCGTCGTAAAGTGTTGGATTGCATGAAAAAACGGACTCGCAAAGCTGCCGTTCGGCGGAGAAATAGATCGAGATGCAACGCTTGAATGCCTTGATCCATGTAGCAATTTCTGCTTCCAGTGTTTCCCATTGCATCTTCTGCACATCGTCGATGCTAATCTTCTCAAACCCGTGCTTGCTCAATCTCTCCTCGAAAGCATTTCGCCTTGCGATGGTATAGACCTGGCAGCACTCAGTCTCGTAGCCTGCTGAAATCATTGCTGATGCAATCCTATTCAAATTGTCCACTGTATCGGGCGAGTAGCCCGGAAAATTGGTGTCTCTAGCGGAATCGGGTTCCCCTTGGGCGTTACGGTCGGAATCATTATTAGAATTAAAAGAAGGTTGCTTTGTTATAGTCGGATCCGAATCGACGGATCTCGAATCTTCTAGGAGCGAGCGGAATTCCTCCTCCAAGAATGACATTGCTCGTTGAAGAATTCTGCTGGCACGGCTAAGTGAATAAGTGTATTTTGTCTCCGACGGGAATCCACCGAAGGCGTTCGCTAGCTTTGAGATTCTATTTACAGCTTCAAGAAGACTAGACGTGTCTTCATCCAATTCATGGCTCCACTTGGTGGTAGATTCGTTCGACTCGTACTTAGTAATCTCTGTTTCAACAAGCTCTGCGAACTGCTCAATGGAATTGGGAACTTCTGGTGGATTGGGGGTAGATATGGAATCGCAAAGATCAGAAATGAATCGATCGATGTCTTCGGAGACTTTAGGAAGAGTGATGGAATCGGTATCGGGAGAAGAATCGTCCTTCTGCTCACTCTCCTCTTCCTCCTTGTGTTTTTCCTTAGTCTCGTGTTCGTCAGGCTGCGCTTCAACGTTCACGGACTCGGATGCCGGACAAGAGTCGGGGTCACGGCAGGCAAAGCTGCCGGATTTTTTAGGCTGATCTTTCTCCATCTGGATCTCTAAATTATTTGTCTCTGTATGTTTTTCATTCCCAAGGAAAAGAGGGTATGAAGAAGAGTAGCAGAGGCATGTGAAGACACAAGCGAAAATGAAGGGGAGTTATTCATTTTCTTTGTATATGTTTATTTCAAGGGATTGAAATGGTCGTCGTTTGCGCGTGTAGAGAGAGAAGAAACAGGAGAGAGAGAGACGGAGAGACGTAAGGACGAGGATTCCCTTCCTGGAATGGAAAGAATCAAAGAACGTTGTCCATGTTTAGAATTTAGAAATGGTTGACGGTTGGCCCGTTTAGATAGTTTAGTTTGTGCTTGCCACCACTGCTCCGAAATCCGAATCCCCTGGTTGACACTGACCAATAGCACAGAAGACGCGTATCAGTCAAATGGCAGTTTTATCATTAAATAATAATAGCTCTTTTACTAAAATACCCTCCACATACTAATAATTGTTTTCTTACTGCTGTATCCTGTAGGTCCATATTCCCGGCTCAGCAGTTGATCCTTCGAACTATTCATGTATTCCCGGTTCCCTCGGGGTTAATCAGTAATGTTCCCCTTACCCATGACCTTTCCCCATCATTTCTATATTTTCTAAAGCTTGTGTTTATTGAAAAAGCGCTGTAACAACAGTGTTAAATATTGGTTTTTATTGTGCATAAAACTATTATTTAGATTTAATATTTATTATATATATATATATTAAAATTGGTTTGTCCATGTCATCAATTATTTTCTTGCAAGAAAAACCCCATTCTAATTTCTTGCTTTTTTTGAATTTTTTATTTTTTTAATTTCATATAATTGACTACTAAACCAATAAGAAAACAACATAGGCTAAATTATTTTTAACAACCACTAGATAAAGAAAAGAGATATTTGATTTTCTAATGTCTAGCCAAGTGGTATCACTATCCCCCACTTTCTCATAAATTATTTCTAATTCCTATTTATCTTCTCCCTACCTTGCCAAGTGGCACCATTATCCCCCACTTTCTCCTAAATTGTCTCTAATTCATATTTATCCTCTCTCTCCACTTTTTATCTATATTCATCCAAAGAAAGTTTATTAATATTTATTAAAAACACCAAAAATAATTAGGGTAAAATATAAAATCTTCTCCTGAAGTTTCTGACAATTATAAAAACCTCCCCTATAGTTTTATTTTAACAAAAACCTTCCCTAAATTTTTAAAAAATTGGACAAATACCTCCCTTCGTCAATAACCCAAACAAAAAACGTTTATGCTTACAAAATTACCCCTGAGGCGTCATTTAAAGATTTTGTAAAGTAGCATGGCGCAAACACGTATTCAGCCTCCTCGGTGTTATTTGGTCCTTCATTTCCTTCCGGTGAGCTTCTCGCCGAAGAAAAACTGATTTTTCCCATGAAGCATCCATTATCTAATTATTTGTCGTTATGCTTGTTGAGTTTTTAGCTTATGGAGTATTTCTTTTTCGTTAATGCAAGTGGGACGTGTCGATGTTGCAAATAATAAAGGGATCAATCTCTATACTCTCTGACGCCGGTCTAATGGCCATGTTCTGGTTAGGTGAGTTCAGTCAATGAAACTGAATGTGTATGTACTTTTGTATAGACAGTTAGTTATATTACAGCGTTAGAGTCAGCCTAAGCATTGGCCGGATACGAATGACCGGCGTTAATAACTTATTAACGGTCCCCTGTTTTCAAAGTTGGTTTCTCAGCCATTTGAAAATGGCAAAGAGAACATGGCCATCCAATTTGTGGGCCATGGTTAATGATCTTCTCTAGCAACAAGAAGATTGAATAGAGAACTGACTGAGGCTTGATGGGATTAGTCATTTACTGCAAGCGACGACTACGTTGGATGGCAATAGCCTGTGACATTTCTGGTAAATTAAGAGGTGTGTCAATTATCCCAGGTCCATTGACCGATATGTGGGACCAAGGATCACTTTTCTTGTGGTCGTCCTGGTCTTGTGTGGTCGGCTCCATGACTGAAAATGCACCGATTCAGTTATCGGAAGAAAGGTCTCCATGACTGAAACTGCACCGGTTTAGTTATGGTGCTCCGGCATGTGGGAGCTTGGTTGCAGCGTTCATCATGGTCATGCGTTTTCTAACGGGCCCAACAGTAATGGTTGCGGCTTCCATTTCTATTGGCTGACGAGGCCATCTCCTCCACATCGCAATTTTACATGTCGAGCTCCCTCAAAGGATCGTCACTTTCGTCTTCGCCAAAGAGTATAACGTTCATCTGGCAATAAAGAGCTAAGTTCAGATTTGATATGCTGTTAATTTACCGTGTTCAGAAATTGATGTTGTTCAACGTAAATCTTAGGGTGATGTTTGGAATGTTAATAGCATTGTCAATCACATTGGTTTATTACCGTGTTCAGAGATTGATGTTTTAACGTTACTCGAAGAAAAGAAAGGGCGCAAAGGATTTGGGGGTGTGAAACAACAAACAAGCGTCGATTTTCCCCGGATTTGGGTGTGTGATAAGGGCAATTTCGTAAATGTGGATGAATAATTTCGTAAATAGTGATGTTTTCTGTCTGGGTTATTGACGGAAGAGAGATTTTTGTCTAATTATTTAAAAATTTAAGGGAGGTTTTTGCTAAAATGAAACTATAAGGGAGATTTTTATGATTATTAGAAACTTTAGGGGAGGTTTTTGTATTTTACTTAAATAATTATAATAGATTTAATAATATTATATTATTAATAGGGTAAAATACAAAAACCTCCCCTGAAGTTTCTGACAATCATAAAAACCTCCGCTATAGTTTCATTTTAGCAAAAACCTCCCTTAGATTTTTAAATAATTCGATAAAAAACTCCCTTATGTCAATTATCATGACAAAAAACGTTAAATCGATTAATAATTTTTCTTATTGTTATTTAAATTCTTAAAATATTAATTATTTATTGAATTTAATAATCCATAAAATTATAATTATACTATTATTACATAATTCGTTATTAATTTTGTAAAATATTAAATTCTTATTAATATGAATATTATGAATTCTATTATAATTATTTTTCTACTTTTAAGATTTTTTTTAATTTATTACATAATTTCGTTATTTTAACTATTTAAAATTTTGTCATGTTAAATATTTTGTTATTTAAATAATATGTAAAATATTAAAAAATTTCATTGTTTGAATTTTATTTATTTTAATGTTATTACATAATATTAAATATTTTTTATATTATTTAGCTACTTTTAATGTTTTTTATTTAAGATTTTTAGTTATTGAAATATTTAAATAATATTTTATTTTTTAATGTTAATTTGTTATTATTTGAATAACATTTAAATTGAATAATTCATAAAATTATAATTTATATTGTTACTACAAAATTTATGATGAATTTTGTAAAAATATTGAATTATTAATAATATGAATATTGTTAAATCTATTAATTTTTGTGTTTTGAATAAATATTTTAAATTTAGTGTATAATTTTGTTATAACATTTAAATAGTTCTGAGTTTTTTTAATTGAAACTTTCTTTAAATAGATATAGATAAAAGTTGGGGGAGAGGATAAATAAGAATTAAGGCCCTGTTTGATGATTAAGTACTTGTTATACAAGTACTTCTAAGAAGTACTTGTTTTAGCAACCACTAAGTTTGTTTGGTAACCCACTTCTCAAATCACTTATTATGTTTTTAAGCACTTATTAGGGTCGGGATGTTTGATAAGTTACTTTCCCCATAAGTGTTTATATTGACACAAATGACAATTTTACCCTATACTTAGATATCTCCCTCTCCCTCTCATTTTCTTCACTAGAAATGTCGGAACCGTCGGAACTGTAGATTGGACAACAGAAAGACTCCTCCGATTAACAACCTTCACAAAATTCTTAGATTCTCATTTCTGCCTCTTGAGTCTCTCATTTCGGGCAACTTAACAACCATCACTACCGGTGGATTATTCTCACACTTTCATTCCATTCTTGACAACAAGTAATTAATTTCCTTAGTCTCTGCAAATTTTGGTATTTGATCTACTCGATTGTTTACACATACTAATATCTCAAATTCTCAATTTGGTTTTGTTTACTAGGTGGTCGAAAATCACGAAACAGCTCCCTGGCCGAACTAATAATGAAATTAAAATTTTCTGGAAAACTTGACTAAAAAGAAGTTGATAAAGATGGGCGTCGATCCGATCACCCACCAACCTCGAACTAACTTCTTCATCATGGACTAATCCCATCTGTTACATCGGGCTACTACTCCACCAGAAGCTTATGAGTTGGGTAAGCTTCAGTATTTTCAATGCCTCCTCCAGACGGCAACTTTGTTGATGACAAACTCTTCCATTGGTTCCATGAACAACAACCTAGTATTGAACTCAGTCTTGAATAATGAAAATCCTGTTTTAGGTTCATCACAACTCGATGATCTCACCCGATTTTTTGTTGGAACTGCATCTCAAGCTTTGCCTTCTTCAATCCTTTCCTTTCGTTTGCCTGCAGATATGCAGCTACCACCTATTCAAGTTAAGAAAGTGTCGAAACAACTTTGAAAGGAAGAAAGCATATATGCAACATTACCGAAAATTTCGTAAGTTGTAGCTCCGTTAATTTCTACAGAAGTCACGACAAGCGTCTCGCAAAATGTGACCGAGTGACCGGAGACAGATTTATCACTAAGCCACCGCAGTACATAAATGAACAAAATCAGATTAGAACGTCTACAAGTTAGAATGTCTTGTAGATTAGATATTAGGGATGGTGGTAAAAAATTGTTCTTCACAGAAGTCGTCATTCAGATACTGTAGAAACTAAAAGTTATCTGGAACCAGGAATTCAATCACACTGATGACGAAGAAGAAGAAATGGATTTGGTGGTTTTGGGTTAAAAAAAAGGAAATGAAAATAAAAAACCCTAGAAACCAAGTCACATTGATAAACTTTTCTTTCTTTCTTCATCGGCGGTGGCTTTTGCTCACCGTGGAACATCGCTGGTGGACCTGCAACCAAACGTCGTTGCTGCCTATTGTTGTAGGGTTTCAAATGGAAGAAGAAGATGATAAACTTGAGTGGGGGTAGTTTTGTCATTAAAGAAAAAAACAAGGACAAGTTTGTCCTATTCGAATGAAGAAGCACTTCTTTAAAAAGTTTTAAAAAAAGCCACATCCATGTCACTTTTTTAAGAAGTAGTTTTTACCCTCTTTTTTACCAAACACCCATAAGTACTTAAAAACCACTTAATGTGTGGTCCATGTCTTAAAAGAAGTACTTGTTTAAATAAGTACTTCTTTTAAGTGTTCTCAAACAAGGCCTAAAAATAGTTTAGTAGAGAATCTCTCTACTAAATTAGAGATAATTTAAGAGATAAATAGGAGTTAGAGATAATTTAAGAGATAAATAGGAGTTAGAGATAATTTAGGAGGAAGTGGGGGAAAGTGGTGACACTTGGCTAAACATTAGAAAAGCAAATCCCTCTTTCTTTATGGTTATTAGAAATAATTAAGCATATGTGATTTACTTATTGGTTTAATGGGTAATTATGTGGAATTAAAAAAATAAAAAATAAAAAAAAACAGAAAATTAGAAAGGGGGATTTGAAGCAAGGAGAGGTATGGTGACGTGGACAGACCAACAATGCAGTGCTTTTGTCACCTTGATGTTCCAACTAGGGTTGTTCATAAGAAGGCCCAACCCGACCAAACCGACTAACCCGGATCGACCCAACATGAGTCGGTCAGGTTTTTATCAGCACCGGTTGGTTTCGGGTTGTACAAATTCATAAACCAATGGTTCGGGTCGGTTTCGGTTTTCTTGTGTGAAAACTGAAACCGACCCAACCCGAATCGACTTAGTTCCTACTTAACTAAAAACTGAAATATCTAAAAATATATATTCCAATATCTATATCTAAAAAATATATATTATGAAATATGTCAGATATATATTTCAATGTATTTGTATGTATATTTTTGTTTATATATATATATATATATTTCTAAAATACATATTTCAGTTTTAAATATATTTCCAGAAAACTAGGTGGCCATGGGGGGCATGGATGAACTTAGAGCCGAAACCGACCCAAACTGACCCAACCCGACTCAAACCGACCAGGTCGGTTTTGCTTAACACTGGGTTGGTTTTGGTTTCCATCTCAGGTAACCCGATCAGGTCGGGTCGGTTGGAAAAACCTCAGTAAATCGACTCAACCCGACCCGTGAACAACCCTAGTTCCAATAATGGCTAATTATGAGTGCTTTCTCTCCGGATGTTAGCAATATGTTAGATAAGCCAGGAGGAAATTCGCATGTGATAGTCATGTGCGCCTTTGAACATTTATAAAACCCTATAACCAATAGAAATATTTCTGTTACAATGGTGTTACCATGCTGAGTTTTTGTCACCTTGATGTTTATTCTTAGATGACGGCTGACTCCAACTACCTTCTTAGGCCATGTTTAGGAGTATTTATGTTAAAAATAAGTGTTTAAAAAGATGTGCTTATTTGAATAAGAACTTATTTACATTTGGCACCCAGCTTTTTCAAGTACTTATTTTTATTGGACGTTTGGTGGTCTTTTTCTCCAATAAGCACTCGTAGCTCTTTTGTCCTTCATTTTTTTTTTAAATTTCAAAATATCCAGTCCAAAGTGAATGAATACAAGTGCTTTGATAGAACTGCTTTCGTAAAAGTGGTTTTATAAAGGTGTTTTGATAAAAGTACTTTGATAAAAGTGCTTTTGTAAAAGTCTTTACATAAAAATGATTTTGTAAACGTACTTTCATAAAAATGCTTTTATAAAAAGTATTTTCATAAAAGTGCTTTCATGTAAAAGTGTTTTCATAAAAGTACTTTGCTTTGGTAAAAGTAACAATATTGAAAGGGTATAATTGGTATTCTAAAAATTTTAATGAGGACAATTTTGGAAGAAAAATTTTGAATAAGTGCTTATTGTATGAGCACTTACAAAAAAGATAGAAATTTGGGATTAAAAAATAAGCCCTTATTTTAAAAATAAGCACTTATTTCAGACTTATTTCTCAAACACTAATAAATGCTTAATGATGTGGTCCTAACCCAAATAAGTACTTATTTCAAATTAGCACTTATTTTTAAGCACTCCCAAACATGGCCTTAATGGCCCTCCTCACCTCAACTCAAATTATAGAACTCTTCAACCTAGTATGAGAATCTCTGCTTTTCTAAACCTAGTTGGGAAGTATAACATTAACATTTTCACTCCCAAAAATTAAATGATGCTTTGAAATGTCGCATCGACCTTGATCGAGTTCAATAGATTTCTTCTCAGACTGGTAATCTCAAGTCTCCTTGGACTATTTTGATGTTTCACGTTCTTAAGTGGCCAAAGATTACAACTAAAGACTTCCTTAAGGACTTATCTCATTTTTGCTGTTAAAAATTCAGTATTTATTAGGGCATTTTAACTATAAAAAAATAGATAAATCCTTAAAATAAGAAATGTCAAATGCAGTCTTAAGTCAATTAGACATTCGGTGCGTTTTAAGTTTCAACAATCACCTCCACTTGACATGTGAAAATTTCGACAAGAAGATTGTTGATCTTCCGATAGATATCCACCTCAACATCGTGGTCCAACTCGAAGGTGTGATCCATGGGATTGAATAGTTATTGATTCCTCGATCCACAAGAAGACTTCAACGGCCGACAGGTTCTAGAGTCCACATATGGTGCTCCTTTAGTTTGATAGAGGCCATGGCTTCTACTTCATCTAGTGCCAAGTACCTACGTTAAGGTCGGGCTAGCCTCGACATTGGTTTGATAGCGAGAGCTAGGTGAAAGACTTTATCCAAACCTCTTATATCATAGTGGATAGAATTTTGTTTTTGATATTTATTATGGTGGATAGATGGGATATGGTTCTTTTTGCTGGAGCCCACAAGTTCGATTCCGAAAGCACATTGTAACTCTTTGTGCAAATGAAAGTTCTAGTTCCATGTGTCCACTCTAAGATATCTAATATATATTTTCAGGCTATAGTTCCATGTGTCCACATTGTAACTCTTTGTAACTCTTTGGCATGGGGGGCGTTATCAATTAATCATTCGCACCCGCTACATAGTCAAAAGTATTCAGCTAATCCGTAATATTTCAACACATGTTCCCTTTGGTAAAATACAAGAGCTCCATTTAAATGTTAAGAGCTAAACCTTAGAACTCCCACTACAGATCTGGCCCTTGGAAGTTCGACCTGCTCTACTGACCCAGCTACATTTCGATTCAGTGTTACTTCTCTATACATTTTTGGCCGAAACACATGGGATATCGAAGAAGGCGTGCGTCCCTGCACGGATTTCTTGTGCTATCTGCAGTTTTTACCGGTTGCGGCCTCCTATTGCTCACTCTGAGGTCCGACGTCGATCCTTCTTTCAGGCCTAGGTTACCGGTAAATTACGGCAAACAAGAACCCTTAGTTGTCGACGTATTTTCCGATATGAATGCAAGTTATCAGAGCGGGTTTAGGTCTGATGTGCCAGCTGAGAGGAATCGAATCTGCGCCACAGTTGAAGAAATGGGGGAGACTTTCGCCGGAGGGTTTGGTGAAGAGAGCCTCCGTGTAAGAAGGATCATTCAAGATCATTTTGCACTCCACGGTACGTTTTCTTCTCTGACCATTTATTTACTTGTGCCCGTGTCCGACTAATAGTTTCTTATTTGCTTGCCTTGTAATCCAACTATATTCGTGTAGATAATTCGAATTGCTGCCTTACTGTTGAGCATATTTATCTGGTTCAGCGTTTGCAATTCACTTAACTTATGAAACTAGAGTCTGCATTTGTTTCACCATAAAAAAGTTAACATAATTGTTAACTTGATTATATTCACTAAATCGATTTTTAATTCCCTGGTCTTGTACAGGATTCTAAAACTACGACATTTCCAAGCTAAACCCATTTATGAAGAACAGCCATTACCTACTAATATTACGCTTATGCAAGAAAAGAGCTCCAAATATCATCTGGGTTTACTCTAGATTTTCACAAAATATTTTAGTGGCAAATTCTGGTTCAAGGTTGCATTGGAGATAAACTTATGCGGATGGGATTACCGTTATACTATTCTAATGCATTTTTATGAAGCACAATTAGCCTAAATATCAATTTTTGGCATGACAATATGAACTTATGCAACTTGAGGTAATTTTATTCGTATTAATAATTGCCACATGTTTTCAGTAAATATAAGTAATAATTTTGATATATATTCTCATCAGTTTTTAAACCATAAGTTAAAAGTTATTAAAACATGTCGGTTTAGTGAGAGTACTTCACAGTTGTCAAAGTGCCTAGTATTGCCGTCTCTCTTTGTGGGG